TGATGACGGTGGAAGAGATGCACAAAAGCTTTTTGGAACCAGCTGATATACTTTTTACAATATATGTTTGTTTTGAAAATAAATTAAAAAAAGAAGGCTCGTATTAAAAAAGAAAAATGCAAGAAGAAACAAAGAAGAAACAAAAATGGGGAAAACAGCAAAGAGGATGGGGGTGAAAATTTGAAACCACTGATAAGAAGGATTTAGAAAGTATTGCATAATATCAATTGGAAATTATACAATCTTCTTATTAAGATTGTTAAGTATTATACAGTTGTCTTTCAATCAAGTTCAGATTATTTGCATGGATTCTTCAGAAATATAATGCCTTGATAACTAGGCGTTAGCCTGTTCCTTTTATCCATTGACTTCCCTGACATTCCTGTAAGTCCTAATCAATACTGATTTTGTCAACTTCTGTGGTCTTCTACTTTTTCTGTATTTTCTTAAAAAGTTAAAACTCACAAAGCACATTCTAGATATTCCAGCATTTTACTGGAACTCCAAGCTCACATATGTAAGGGAAAGTATATATATACATACAGTACAGATGCATTTATATATAGCCTTACACTGCAAGTTCCATATTTAGATCTGTGTAAGGGTGTCGCTCAAAGTTAACTGCAGGGAAAAAGCAAACGATTTGAGAAGCCATGCCACCAATGATGAGATCCCCAGGTTTATGCCATTCGTGAGGAACCGGCTGCACCTCAATCAAGGGGCAGTTGATGCTGGATTTGGCACATGATATTTGGGGCAACATCAGGAGTAACACTACTAGCATCAGAGCCGACGAGAAGACCTTTTCTCTGGATGTAGCCATTGCTGCCTCATCCCTTGGATTGGCTACTTTTACCCAAGGTCCACAGAAAGCTTGAAGACCTGACTTGGAAAACTGTCTCCACCTGAACGTGAATATCAACATCCTTCAGAATGCATGAGTCCCTGCATGAGTGATGCAGAACAATTTGAAGAGACCATAGTATATCTTACAGAATTGTGCCTCTCTTCTGTTTCTGGTTATGGCTCTGAAAGGTAAAACCCAGGGGATTTGTTAATCATATCTTAATCTGAAGACGACTCGGGCTTGTCTGTTGCTTTCTGCCTTATTTTCCAGAACGTTCTTGGCATTGTGCCGAAGCAAACTAATGGTAAATAATTTCAAGGGGCGTTGTTTGGCCTCTGTGGAATATCCTTGACAACTAATGATTTTATTCCCCTTCTTCTCCCCCCCTTCTTTTTCCTCCTTTGTTTTCAAAACAGATAATTGGAAATAAGAATTGAAATAATGCGGGCATCTAAAAATGCATAAGGAAGGTAAATCCCACGTGTGCAATGATGTTATCACTCAATTGGCATGACTTAGGAAAGTGCATCTGGTATTGTGACACTGTATCAACCACCATAGAACTTTCCTTCAAGTTGACATTATCACAGTTTCTTCTAGATGCTACAGAGGAGCAATTGGTAACATTACTGCAAACCAACCATAAACATAGTTCTCCAATGTGCCACAAAATAAGTGTTGGTCATAAAAAATGACATAAAGGTAAAGGTTCCCCTCACAGATGTGTGCTAGTCATTCTTGACTCTAGGGAGCAGTGTTCATCTGCATTTCAAAGTCAAAGAGCCAGCACAACGGGAGCTCACTCCATTATGCGGTGCTAGGGATTCGAACCACCAAACTGAGCTATGGAGGTGGTCAACTGTATTAAGTATCTGGGGTGCAGAAAATGAGCAATCTGAATTTTTCCATCCACACATTGTCCTTAGTGAAGCGTGCAAACCAGCAACTGCATTTCCTGGGTCGGATGAGGAGAGCACATCTTTCTCCTTCTGTCCTGGACACCTTCTACAGAGGCACAATTGGGAGTGGTTTAACAAACTGCATCCCTGTTTGGTTTGGTGGCCACAGTGCCTCAGATAGAAAGTCCATACAGAGAGTGGTGAGGACAGCAGAAAAAATTATAGGACGCTTGCTTCCTGTTATTCAGGATCCTGCTTATAAGCGCTATGTGCTTAGAGCTCAAAACATTATTAGAGACCCCACACACCCACTTGGCGGTCTGTTTCTCTTGCTCCCTTCTGTGAGTAGGTTTCAAAGTATTTCTAGCAGAATAATCAGATTCTGTAACAACTTT